ACCAACAAATAGTGGGATTGACCGCACATTACAACGCCCCCACGGGTGAAAGGGCGAGCATATTTGGCGTGATGGGGATTCGACTCCGCGACCCTCAGATTGCGAGTCGAGCGCCCTAACCACCTGGCCATGCCAGGCCCAAGATACAAAAATACTTAAAAAAAAAAAAAATACTTGTTTTATGATACATATCCTCGTTTTGAGCGCATAGAAAGACCATAATTTGACTGCTTTCAATTACCTTGTCGTATTTGGAAAATACCGGTTACTGTGAACGATAAAAATATACCGTAGCCTAGATAGCAGTCGTATGTTTGAGAATTTCGCGCAAAACTAATCAAAGAGCTATCCACTGTCCTTAATTTTGAAATTATAGATTAGAGGGAAGATAGCTAGTCAACAACATCCATTGTCAACTATTAGGCTGCTCTTAAGTGATCTAATAGTGCGGAGCGTGTTTTTACGAAGAAGGTTACTCAGATTCACAATTCAGGCACGCTAACCACGTCCGTATATAGATCAATCACCCGTCATAACATCACAACCAGATATAAGCAAGCGTTACAGTCCATAGCACTAGCTACAACTATAAAATAATCATGTTACTTAATTACACTACACAATAAAAAAAAAGTATTTAAATAGTATAATTTTAATGAAACAACATTATTTGGTAGAGAGTTGTTTAGTTCATAAGTCACTGAACTTTTCTTTAAGTGACTAGCTATACATAGCGCCGTCTCCACTGCTGGAATCGAACCCCAAATTTTAGCGTTATAAGTCCCGGAGTTTACCACTGAGCCACGGGTGGCAAGTCTTTATATGCTAAATGAACAGCACGTGATATTCAGCGTACCCTATACTGTGGTCTAACATAAACAACAATAAAGTATGTTGCATATCTCTATGATAAAAAAAAGAACACTTTAAACTACATTTCACAGCAGTCTCGGATTCGATGAATTCAAATAACCAGACTTTTGAATGGCTCGGGTGTCAATATATTCTCATTAAAATAAGTAGCTAAATCATTAATTTTTGGACACTACATAAAGCTGCTTCGTATTGTTACGTCTCTGTTCGTTAGTTAACTTCCCGTATAGTTTCTTTTCGAAGAAACTTTAGCA